TTTGTAATAAGTAAATATTTTCTACTTCTTTGCTGTCTTTGATCATCTTTTAAATGGTTACATTTAGTAATTTTTCCATCTTCCAGTATTTCTCCAAGTTTCCAATATTTAAAAAAATTTAATAAAGTTTTACACTATTTTTTTTTGAAATGAGAATCACTCAACCAACTCAGGCAGGGATTTGTTCATATATGTAGAGTTTTAACCATATTTTAAGCACTTAGGAATATGTTATCATTATCTACTTTATCATTATATGAAATCAAACAAATGACTCCAAAAATTAGTCAACCACAGCATGAAAAACCTTCTTGTTCACAAACACTAAGTCTCAGACCCAATTTCTGCAAAGGTGGTAGAAACAATAAAAGAAATCATACAATTAAGGTAGCCATGGTCTGTTAACCCCACTAAGGGCTTTAAAATACTTATTACCTTTCCAGAAAATTTTTAAATACACAAAGATTTTTAGGCAAAAGAGTAAATACAGTTTAGACCCACACTCCCTTGGGAAAAGGAAAAACTCTGCAAATGCAGAGTTTATTTGAATGTTAGGAAAATTACCTTGAAGGCTGCTAAACAATGAAGGCTCAGTACGGCCATGACAACGGCCAGAAGGATGGTGGCTAAGTTCCGCATGTCCCATATGGTCTCTACCAGAGGAATACTGCCCACCTGCCAGTCATAGCACAGGGTGACAGGTGCAAGCAGAAGCCACACGTTGAAGGCCAAGAGGTAGGAATAGGTAAGGAATCTACAAAGAGAAGAAGAGTCACTGAAAACCAACTCAAGATCCACAACATTTTGCAAAACATTCATTCGCCACGTTTCTATTAAAGAGCATTTCTCTACTATCCAGCTTATAGAAAAGACGAGGTGAGATGGGAAGACATTCCTTCACTGAGTCATCTAATTGATCATTTTGGAATATATGTAATAGGTTCTAGGCACTGTGGCAGGGGCTGGCCTTTCAATAATGAACAAGCCAAGACAGACTTTCCATGACTTGTATTTAAAATTATCCTAGAAATAAATGCATTGCCACTGAGATCAAAGGTATAAAATAAAAGGGTGATGACGTGCTGCCCTGCTGGGTATGATGCCCTAGGTTAAGAGACATTCAAACTGTCCCTTTTTAATAGTGTCCAGAATCCTGCAGTAGATAGGAACGCATTTAATCATTTTACAATAGATTGATGTGTATTGAACCGTATCAAAAAAATCAGAATATCTGTGGTAGGGAGATACAGTCTTTTTATTCACAAATCTAGGGGCCAGGCTTCAAGAGGAGGGAAATACAGCTGTCCTTGTATTAAGAACAGCTGGGGGGACCCAGGGAAGGAAAGTGATGACGAGGGGTGTCACTCCTGTTTCCTGGCTGTGTCAAGGCCCCCAGGTAACGCGGAAGGCATTCCAACTGAGCCCCTTCCTTCTGGCACAGAAGAAACTGAATTTATTTCAATCTGTTCAGTCAACACAAACTTGTTAAGTAGTGTTCTAGACCCTTGAGGACTGCCTGACTGTCAGCAGATAACAAACTCCATCCAAACCTCTGCACAAGCAGATGGCCAAACTCCAGCCTGGCTCCCAGGAGCAGAAGGCCGAGTCCCTAGGAAGACCCCACCCCACTCCATTGTAACACCTGCCTGAGAAGGTCACCATCACCAGGAGAGTTTACTGTTTTTCTAGCTAATCCCTGACCGAAGGCCGCTCCCTCCCTTTCTTAAAGCATCTACTACAAAAGGCTTAAAGCGGAGTAGGCGTCTCTTATAGCTCAGACGTCTTTCTCAAGGGCTTGAGAGCTACCCCTTTAGGATGTAACTATCAGGAAAGATGGGGTCTGTCTCCCACGCTGGGGGAGGACAGAAGCCCCACTTTGATAACCGCCAGCCAGCAGACACAGCCAGCCTAAATGCACTCATATGGCCAATCCTTTGCAATTATTTTTAGTTCTCCGACTGCGGAGCCCCAGTGTGCCCCATCTCACGCTCCCTGTAAGATGCCCAATCACCTCGGCGCAAATCAAGACTGACGCCGAGCACCTCCCCAGTCACTGAGCAACGTGTGTTCTCACCGCTTTGACTAGTGTCCAGCCATGTTTCGCTTTGGGCTCTCTCTGGAACTAAGCCAGAGAACTGCATCAATCCTTTATCCTCAGTAAAAACCGAAACAGCGAAAGAAAATAAGATACACAGAATTAAGGACATAAGCCCAGGAGGGTACGGAATGTGACGGGAAGACCTCCCTCACTGTCCGAGCCTTTGGGAGGGACTTTTGGGTTGGCAAAGAGGTTGGATCCGATCTTTTTCTTAAATTTTATTTTATTGAGTTATAGTCAGTTTACAAGTTTGTGTCAAATTCCAGCATAGAGCACAATTTTTCAGTTATACATGAACATACATATATTCATTGTCACATTTTTTTCACCATGAGCTACCACAAGATCTTGTATGTACTTCCCTGTGCTATACAGTATAATCTTGTGTATCTATTCTACATATGCCTGTCAGTATCTACAAATTTCAATTCGGTAATTTTTAAGTGACTTTCCAATATTAAGAGCCAGTGCCGCCCTGAATTCCTCTCAATAAGTTTAGCATCTTCCTTCCCTTCTGAGACCTTCCTGTCTTACCCCCTTCACTTTCCTCCTCCTTCTCCAAGGCTGGCAGTGGAAAATCGCTGACAGTGACCAGCGGTGGCTCAGCGACAGGGAGGATTCACTGCCTCAACTCTCAAACCCCAACAGGGAAGTGGACTGAAGGAGTGGGGGCATTTCAATGGTGTTTCCCTGCATGTTCCTCCGTGAGGTTATTTTAAATAAGATGTTAATATACAGACAGTGCAGTATATACTGAAAGCTTGATAAAGTCCAAGCTTTGTGATTTAATAAAAGTGAAAGCAAGAACACTGGCCTTCCCCCTTTCAAGCTTGGGCCCATGAAGCTGTCCCATGAGAATGCCAATCCCAGAGAAACATGATCGGGTCCCTTGCGGCTGCTTCTTTCCACAGGGCTTCTAAGCTGGTGTAACCACTTCTCAGCTCAGTAAGGATTCTCCGTGACTTGGCTTTAAAGAATATGCAGCCATCAAACTTAGCAGGGAGGCCACACAGCTGTGCCACTCAAGTTACATCCCAGCTTGTAGAAGTGACTTTAACCCTCCTACACTGCTGGTGGGAATGTAGTTTGGTGCAGCCACTGTGGAAAACAGTATGGAGATTCCTCAAAAGACTAGGAACAGACTTACTGTATGACCCAGGAATCCCGCTCCTGGGCATATATCCAGAAGGGACCCTACTTCAAAATGACACTTGCACCCCAATGTTCATAGCAGCATTATTTACAATAGCCAAGACGCGGAAACAACCTAAATGTCCATCGACAGATGACTGGATAAAGAAGCTGTGGTATATTATACAATGGAATACTACTCAGCCATAAAAACCGACAACATAACGCCACTTGCAGCAACATGGATGAACCTGGAGAAAGTCATTCTAAGTGAAGTAAGCCAGAAAGAGAAAGAAAAATATCATACGAGATCACTCATATGTGGAATCTTAAAAAAAAGAAAAGCCAAATGAACATAAATACAAAACAGAAACAGACTCATAGACATAGAATACAAACTTGTGATTGCCAAGATGGAGGAGAGTGGGAAGCGACAGATTGGGAGTTCAAAATCTGTAGATACTGACAGGCATATGTAGAATAGATAAACAAGATTATACTGTACAGCACAGGGAAATGTATACAAGATCTTGTGGTATCTCACGGTGAAAAAGAGTGTACAATGAATATATATATGTTCATGTATAACTCAAAAATTGTGCTCTACACTGGAAATCGATACAACATTGTAAACTGACTATAACTCAATAAAATTAAATTAAAAAAAAGAAATGACTTTTAAAAAGATTATCTCTCCTTGATATAATAGATGAAGGCAATGATTCTAAATGGCTGCTGAAGTTATTAGGTGAAAAGTTGACAGGGTACTTTGTAATGGATGGATCAGACTAAATCTGGTGCCTATAACTTACTAGTCAGTCTTAACATCACAGAAAAGGAGACTAACAGCCAGGTGTCCCTCTTGATGGGTAAACATACCACCATCTATGAAGTGGTCTTGTCAAATAAAAAAGAAAATTAAACTTGAATCTAACCAAGTGCTTTATTACCAGTTTACATCAAACACAGAAAGCCCCGAACATGTTAAATAACACCACAGGGAGGCAATGTGCCAAATCCAAGATGTTACAATTTCCGTACAACAAATGACTGCAGTTTCCTCAACAAATACATTGTAATGGGAGGGAAAAAAACCCCAGGAGAGGGCACCTAGGAATGAAGAGACTTAAAAGATGTATCACCCAAAGTGCAGATTTTGTTTAGTTGCTAATTCAAACAAACTACTATTAAAAAAACTGCTTCTGAGACAGAAGAAATTGAAATGCTGGTTGGACATAGGATATTGGAGAATCACTGTTAATTTCTAAAGTGTGATAATGGTATTGTATCTAATGGTATCTATTCTTTAAGAGACTTTGTCTTTTAGAAATACAACCCAAAATGTATGCATTTGAAATGAGATGCTGTCTTGGATTTGCTTCAAAATGATGCACTGAGGAGCAAGGGGGAAAGAGGGGGCTGGGGTGTAAATGAAACAAGATTGTCCATGAGCTGTGATCGTGGAAACTGGATAATGGGCGTGTGGAGGTTCTGTATGTTACTTTCTCCACTTTTGTACATATTTAACATTTTTCATAATAAACACTATTCTTAAGTAGTGGTAAAGGCAACAAAATGGCAACAGGAATGCTTCCTTGTCTCATGTCTGGTTGCAGCTTGACCACAGAAGAGCCGCAAACACTAAGCAGAAACTTTTAATGTTCTGTTCACATTCTGACCTTGCCCCGCAGCTTGTCCTCAGCTGCTTCTATAATCTAGACTTGCCATGTTGCACTGACAAAAAGCACATATAAGAACAACATTTTCTTAAAGTTACAATCTTAACGTTTCTGACCTATTTTTTAAATACTCAATTGTGACTTTTTACACAGCGTAACTGAAATTAGTTAAAAAAGAAAAATAAACCACAGAACTAAAAGAACCTTCCCCTTCCTGTAACACTGAGAAGGTCGAAACTATTAACTTACCCCAAGACTATTAACTTTAAACCTCCTTTTTTAAAATTGAGGTAGAGTTGATTTATAATATTATATTAGTTTCACATGTACAACATAGTGACTCAACATTTTTATAGATTAAACCCCAGTTAAAGTAAAGTTATTATAAAATCTTGGTTATGTTCCGTGTGCTGTACAATATGTCCTTGTAGCCTTATTTATTTTATACACAGCAGTTTGTACCTGTTAATCCCCTACCCCTATCTTGCCCCCCCCCTTCCTTCTCTCCTCTGGTAAACACGAGTTTGCTCTCTATAATGGTGAGTCTGTTTCTGTTTTGTTACATTCTTTTTAATATATGTATATTATCTCCAGAAACTCAGAGGTATCCACCTACCTTTTGTGCACACGAATTCAGATCAATTTTGCAAGTAAACTCTGTAAATACTATTTGAAATACTGAAACAGCATTGGAAAAAATTTTGCAAATTTAAGCATAGAAAAGCCACTTGGAATCATGCCAGACGCTAATTACATGTTAGGGGGCTGGCTGAGTTGGCTGTAATCAGCAACTGATGGGTTTCTTTTTAACTCATTGGCTATGAATTACATTTCAAACTAATCACC